ATTACTTGAGACACAGTCATGCCACCCAGCTGATCTCCATTACACTTATTGTGAGACTACTAGGACCAGTTGGCTGTTGAATTAGGCCAGTCACTTTAAAGGGGATGACTATTTATAGAATTACTTATGTGAAGAAATGAGTTTCCAGTTTGATATTAGTTTTTTTGCAATTCTTTTGTTTGTCAAATAAGCCTATTTTTTTTAATCATGATTAATTTGTAAAAGCATTAAAAAGGGTGAACACTTTTTATAGGCACTGTATTCATTTAAGTTGTACTGTACCATGTTTATTCATTAATTTGAGAAATTGACCTCTAAAATTCATTAATTCTGATTGCTTTTGTGGCATGAATTTCAGCGTTATCACACCATGACATAATGACGAGGCCCAATTAGTCACTCATACTCATGAACCTACAAATGATGTTCTGGAAATTAGCTCATTGATTGCTTAAGGAATTCAATCAAAATGTTGTTATTGTGTTACCCACTACCAAGTTTTTTTTTATAGGACCAGTTTGAAAACATGAATTTTACGAGCTTTCTAAAATAAGTTGTCAATAACCATTCAAGCAAAACACTCCAAAGGTGGAAAAAAGAGAAAGTGTTCATAAATGTATATTATTGTGACCTGCATCTGCATCCATCTTTATATAATGTGTTCATAGTTGACCTTGTTCTATAAAGAAACACTGACACTTCTTCAAAAAAAAAAAAAATCAACCCTAAACAAAACATTCTAATTGATGTTACTTTAAAATTTAAGCAATGATCCTGGGTGTGAAATTTTACATCCATTCCGTAACTGCAATAATGGGACTATTTTCTTAATTTTTTCTGTAAATGGCAAACATTTTGGACTTAACATTAAAAGATGAGACAACATCAACAAATCAAAATTTCAGATTACATTTCCATGCATTTATATCTAGATTTCATGCACAACTTAGAGGATACCATTATTTGTTATAGAGCACCAACATCTTTGGGTCAAAGTATCTGGACATGTTGCTGAATTTTACTACTTTTTTTTTTTACAGCTGTGTTCTGTTACTCCAATTATTTAAACAATGAACAGCACTAATTGTATTCTCTGTTGGGTTTTGCTTGTGTGTACAGAATTTCCAGTTACATGAAAACCTGAGAGCCGTTTATGGGTAAAAAAAAAAACAAGCAGCTGTGAAGCTCAGAAAAGATGGAAAAATCAATAAGAGCTATTGCACAAACATTGGCCAGTTAAATCATTTGGAATGTCCTCAAGAAAAAAGAAACCACGGAGGTGCAAAGTAACAGACATATACCAAGGATATCATCGGTAGTTGACAACAGAAATATTGTAAGATCTTTAAAGAAAAAAAAAAAAACACACAAAAGCTACTAATGGCATAAGCACACTCCTCCAAACAGCAAGACTAAAGGAACCACAATCCGCTGTTTGCAGGGAAGTTCATGGATTCACCAGGGGACACAAACTATTAGCAAAAAGAATCTATCTAAAGACTGAAATTTGCTGAAAGGTGAGCTCGAAAAGATGAGCTCTAAAAACATTGAGGCACACTTTTTAGACCAATTAGACAAAAATTAATCTTTACAAAAATGATGGATAGGTTAAAGTCTGGAGAAAGAAATTATCCTAATATTCAAGCTCATCAGTGAAACAGTGGATGTTATAGATTTTATATTAGACTTGCATGGCTTCTGAGATTGGCTTATTGATCTTTATTGAAGACTTTACAACAGAATGAGTGTGTTACAACAAAATGACAGATGCAGCTTAGCTGTTTGGAAATTCAAAATCCATCTATCCAATTCTTTCTGGTTTTTGACTGAAAATGTGCTGGTTAAGCTTCAAATAATGGCTAATTTTCTGAGCTGTGTTTTAGATCCAGATACAATATCTGGCAATTATGCTGATATTTTGATCTGATATGCTACATATCTCATCTTTTATTTCCATATTATTTGCAGTCAATAGCAACGTTTCAAAATCTTTGGAGGGGGTCAATGGCACCATATGGGGGGGAGGGGGGGTCAGGACAATTCAAGGGCCCCGGCCGACAGGAGGCTCCCCCAAAAATTGATTTAAAAAAAATAGAAATAGAATAAAATATTTCGATATAATGTCAATAATAAAAGTACACATTTTTAAACTTGTTTTTAGCAGTAAAAATTAAATGTTACCCCTTCCAGACCAAAAGGCAAATATCCATATTTGAACTGAACACCCCTCTGTATCTTCATGAAATGGTTTGTTCCTGCTGCTTAGTGCACTTGACGGTGATCAGCAGCAGTTAGCACAAGACAAGAACTACAGTATCTTAGTATATCGCCAAATAGTCAAGTTTTAAGAACAATAGCGAGATTGAGAAATAGAGGACAGACAAAAAAAGAGGGTCAATTTGGAACCCAGTTTTTTTCCAAGAGAGGTAGGTGGACTGTGTGAGATTATCAACCATTTAGCATAGTTAGCTTAGCTACATACTACTGTTTGCCTCCATTTCACCACATTTAATCAGCGAAGGAAAAGAACTACCAAACTAGTCATATATTTAACTTGTCTCTGTAGCTTTTACCACACTTAACAACAGATGAGTCAGTCGGCAGCAGCTCTGGCCCCCATACTAAAATAACCCCTCCCCCCCGTCCCAGTGGAAAAGGTGAGTTCCAAGTGTTCAATGATGAGCTAATTAGCATTATTCCAGGGAATCTGTGGATTTCTCCCGTCTCTTTGCTCTTTTTACAATTATACAGCAAAAACAATGTATATATTACTGACAGAAATTGAAACAATTTTTATAAAATGATAAAATAGCCTCCTGTCTGCACTGAAGGCTGGGCAGTTTAAACTGGGTATTCTACAAATAGCATGCATTTAAGTTACAGATATCTGCTGCCACTTTCCCTCCTGACCTGTCCCCTCTCCTCCTAAGTGAAATTAAAGCTGCAGTATGTAACTTTTATATATAAGAAAATCTTTTATATATTTAAAACTGTCACTATGTCTTGACAGTATGGTATGAGAGGTAATCTGGGAAAAAGAAAGAAAAACTGCCTTCTCCCAGTACTATCTAGAAAAGAAAAAAAAAAAAAACAGAGGCAGGAGGTGGGTCTTAGCGCTGTCAATCACCATCTTGTTTGGTGCTGCTCATCCTTCTTCTCCTTTACCTCTTGCTCTGTGGTATGCTATAGCTAGCATAGCCTGTTGTAAATGCTCAGTCTAGTTAGCATAGGTACCAATGACGGCGGATAAATGGTTTGAAAGAAAGAGAACAGCTTGCCTCCTGATGCTGAGCTCCTGAGTGAAAATTGTGCTCCTCAAATAAATAAACAATTTTCCTTCTTTTATTTTTTTTCTCCATTTATTTTAGATCCTGGTGACAGCCATCCAGTGCTTCTTATTGGTAGCTCAAATCGTATTGTCATCACCCATCTAAATGGAACGGGTCTTCAGCCCCTGAGGTCCCTAAGTGTAAATGGAACACTGGCATTGGATTTCCAGCACAGCCAGGAAAGGGTTTGCTGGGCCCTGGCTACAGAGTCCTCTGGGCAACTCCGCTGCGCCGCAACAAGGAATCTACGTGGATTCACACGGGAACAAGAAATAAAAACACAACGGAGTATACAACGTATGTTTTTTTTGTTTTTTTTCCCAGATCTCAGTTCTTATTGTTACATAGTCCTTTCTTGCTGCTACTCTAGTGATGGATTTAACTCATTTACATAAGAAAAAGGAAAAAATGGCATTTCTTTCAGGTTTGGTACGTATTAAAAAATGCCTCTTCACACATCGGCTGAACATTATTTTGCTCCAGCTCTCTCTTCTCCATGCTCTTAGCTGCAAGGCGCCTCTAGCTCCTCATTATCTGTGCAGTTTAAGACAGGTTAGCCTCAGCAATTTTGGGATTCACCTTTATCCTATAGCTGTCACTCCTGCCTGCAGGCATCAAAAGCATTGCTGCTTCTGAATTCCTTTTCCACTATAGATCATTGGAAACATAAATCACCAACATTTGATTTAGCGTTCATGAATGCAGCTCATCTTATTTTCACAGAGACAGATATATCTCAAGTTACAAAGCATGTACAACAAACGTGCTTTGGTATACACAAAAATGACAAAATAATTTCAGAAAGTAAGAATTATCTGTTGCCATGGTAAAATTCAAAGTAGTTTTATGCCAGTTTTACACATCAAACCTAGTATTCATAACATTGAATACTGTCGCTTCTGTGAAAGATAATGGTGTCTCTCAGGGGAGTGCTTGGAATTTATTAAAAGTAGCTCAAAAGAACTCTAAATTACAGTCTCGAAGGTCAAAGCAGGGGTTTATTATTAAATACAGTTGTATTCAAAATAATAGCAGTTCCACATCACCATGCAGATCAGTCAGTGTTTTTGCAAAAAAAACAACAAAAAAACTTATATCTCTATATGGCAGATAAGCTTCTAGTGGGTTTTTTGTAGCACTAGAAAACCCCACTGTCATTGCATGCATGCTTCTGATATTGTGTACTTGAATAATTAATTAAAAGAAGGGCGATGTTAAAATAATATGGTGGAACTCAATCTGTGTGGTTGTGTATTATATGCAAGAACACGTTTCAGTGGCCATTGCTTAAAGGGGGGCACAGGGGTATTATGTATTTTCCAGGCACATAGTGCCAAGTCATATCACAATCAAGTAATTATGTTACCTTCAGTTATGAAAATGTTGTATATATCAAAAATAACTTAAAATAAATTTTACTTTGCATTATAGCCATATGAGACACCTTGAAATAGGCCTCTCTCTCTCTTCCTAGGGAGCCCTTCAGGAGATGATCACAACAATGCTCCTCCATGATGGGGTTTAGATCTGTTCTTAGGAGCCTTCAACTGAGAAATAGTTCATATAATAAACTCAGCAGACTCTCAGTATTGTCATACTCTAATTATTATTTATTATGTATCTAATCTTTATGGGCTGATAGGCCCATTTACTGGCCCAGAAGTTGGTCAATGTCATGCATCACAGATATGATGCAGTTCTCAGAAATAATGGTAAATAGTCTAAAGGAAATATTGAAGCATATTTCAGTTTGTACTGAAAATCTATGAGTTTGCAAATGTTTAGAGATTGTTTAAACAGCCTAACACTCCTTTCCCCTCACTTTTTGTGACATGAAATGGGAAATAGTTTCTTTCATGTTTTGCTTTGAAATAGCATAGAAGCTTTATTCACTTTTTAGTCTTGTAAACAGCTATATAATGAAAGACAACTTGCAGTATAATGACGCTTAGATTTTTTTTTAATACTTGCCATAATATCAACTAAAACATTATTTTGCTTGTTACATGTATAGTTATTTGTGTTCTTTGCCCAGTGACAATATCTGTCACGTATTTATTCATTGCAGATGTGGAGCAGATGGCCATTGACTGGCTGACAGGGAACTTCTATTTTGTTGAACATGCCTCTGACAAGGTATTCGTCTGCAATCGTGCCGGGGACACATGTGTTACAATTCTTCAACTAGACCTGCTGAATCCAAAAGGAATAGCCCTGGATCCTCTCATGGGGTGAGTAAAGTGCAAACAAAAAATCATATCCTCTCTGAAAGCTCCAAATAACTTTCCATCATGCATTTTTTTTATACAAGCGCAAAAATAACACAAGATTTGAAGGGCTGCATTTTCTGCAAAATTGCAGTGTGGATGCTATTAGTTCAAATTTCCTGCTTCACTGCTAAAACCTGCAGTGATGCAGAAATCCCTGCAGAGTTTAATAGTAAAGTATTAGAAGCTACAATGGTAGATGAGCAGGTTTCTTTTAAAGGCAAAAAGTGCAAAACCACTGAGTCTGTAGTGTTAAAATAAATTCAAATTCAACACTAATTTACTTCTTTATACATCATAATTAAATGTAAAAATATATTGCTAGAAAATGAACTCCATTACTATAAAGAAGCAAAAATCATTGAAGAATTAAGCAGTATGTTTCAACGTATGTGTGTTTGTAACTCAGTTCAGCCATACCTGTAGCGCTTACTAAAAGCTCTTACTCTCTCTTCATATTCAGCCATATTACTAGCAAGGTTCACCAGCTATCTAAGCATAACCTGTTGCTATTAGCTTGTTAGAATATATACTATCTTACTCTGTGATTTCATAAAAATTGTGAAATATAAAAATCTAAATTTCTATGGAGAATTTCTATTTTAGAAAATATAAATTACACATATTATATCTTAACATAATATATATTGACATAAGAGCACAGGCAAACATCATGACCTCCTAAAATATATGAATGATCTAATATTTGAATGGTTGAAGCAGGACAAATGTTAGAGGTGAGAAGTAAAAAACTGATGAACATGTGCTCATGGTGGAAGAAGCTCATTTCAGTCAAAGTGTAGTATTCATGTAATGATCCATTTTATTCTTTTTGGCAACCTAACCTGATTTATGTATTTATTGTTTTAGTGCATAGAAAAGTGGATGAGCTTTTTTTTTTCATATATAAGGCATGACATTTAAATTTCTTTACAGTTGCACACAGTTGAAAGCATCTGATCTACCGCTGTTAGTGAATGTCATGGAACCTACATATACAGACGTTTTGACAGGCAAGAAGGACACTGCCATTCAGAAACTTAAAAACATATAAAGATACTTTCAATGAATTCTAAAATGAATTGGAAGTCAGTGAAGAGAGGGTGAAACCAGAGTTGTATGTTCTCACCTTTCACTTTCAAGTGGTTTAGAATCAATCAATCAATCAATCAATCAATCAATCAATCAATCAATCAATCAATCAATCACATTTTATTTGTATAGCACATTTCAGCAGCAAGGCATTTCAAAGTGCTTTACATAATTAAAATAAAAACAGCATGTGACAATGGATAAACTGTGAGAAAGGGAAAGTTTAACTGGGACTCTAATCCTCTGGGAATTTAGTCAGAATTGAATCCACTTGAAAGCCTGGATTCTAAACCAATTGTTGTTGCTCAGTGCAAGCAACGCTTTTTTTTTTCTTCTTTTTTTATTTCGGAAAATAATATAAATAACTAAGTAATAGAAGCCATAATCATTATGTCCTGAAAAATCTGAATGTTTTGAAAAGTGAAAGGTAGAAATGGCAAAAAGATTGCAGCATGAACAGAACAGTTTGAAAGAGCAAGAGGATCACTATGGAGTGAATGCTTTTCAGGATTCACACAAATAAAAATATGTTTATCCGAGAAGGAAGGCATTCTAAGATCGTCTTCCTCTCCTATGGCTCAGCTCTTTTTTTTATTTGAGCTGTTTAATTTGACAGGCAGCCGATGATGCCTCAGAAAGCTCAAATTGTCCACACATTCATCTGTATTCACTGATGTTGCCACAGAAAAAATGTCCCTGCTGGACTTTCCATCACTGGATGTTTGTCTGTAAGGATAGAGGAAAACACATTATACCCCCTGTGAACACTATAACAGCATGTGGTGGGCTGTGTTCAAGATCACACTTTTTGAGAGAAGATTCTTAGCACTTTAAGTAAGACAGAGTTATAAAAAAAAATAAGTAAATCATTTAAGTAAACTGCTTACACAAGCTTTATCAAACTGTGCACCAATTATCAAGGACTCAGTCATTTTTGCATTTCTACCTCTGCCTAACCGGCAAATGCGAGCCTATTATTTTGCAAAGATTTGGCAGTAAACTTGGAGTCAAAGCAACATTTTAGCATCCCTTTTTTTCCTGTCTGGGATTTTGAGGAACAGTCTGCAAACCGAAGACATAGAGTGTTTAATTTAAGCCTTGCTTGTGGTAAAATGTTTCTATCCAAACACGGCTGAATTTGAGTGCACCTAGCTTCTGCTCTAAGCTACTTTTCTTATTCTGCCGTGACCATCCCCTTAAGGCCATGACAAAACAGTATAAATCTTGCATGTTAACACCCTGCATAATTAATCTGAAAGTTGAAGCAGATGAAGCAGAACTGCATTACCACTTTGTGGTATTTTTTTGTTGTAGAAAACTCAGCTTTATTCATCAACTTGGGCTGCTATTATGCCGGCGGGTCTAATCAAAATAATTTGCTGTTGGTTTCCTAATGGCATGACCAGTTTTGATTTGGTCGGCTGCATCTCTGCTCTCATTAAATGCAGTTCAGTTCCTGGAATATGCTACAGCTTCTGGTAAATATGAAGCAAGTTTGAGAATGTGTTTAAACTGAGAATCCTCCTTTTGTTACTGTAAGTCAGCAGTTGAGGGATTTTGTTGTACAATAATACCTTATCACATTTTAGGTTAAGGGCTAGATTGCCTGTATAAGACAGAACATTTCTGTGCGCTCCTACTGACTCTAATTGGTGAGAAATAGGTACAGCTGTTTCTGAAGCAGTGGGCCTGAGAGAGGTCTGTCAGCCTGGAGCAATGGAGTGAAAACAAAAGAAATGAGGGAGGTGTTAGATAGCGGCACAGCAGGAAGAACAGTGTTTATAGAATATGCCCTGCTTTGGCACTCCAATTTTTATCCTTGTTTGACTCTCATGATGTCTCCCTGCCTCTTTTTCTATTGGATACGGCATTTTAACTTTGCTACATCGAAAAGGATTTGATGTTGATGGACAGCCTTTTCTCGTTTTTGTGGTGGAAAAAAGTAATTGATTGAAGCACATAAATGCTAAATTCTTCATAATACAAAATGATTAAAAGTCCTCTTTTATTGCCTTTATAGCATTTGTTTTCATAATGTTTTTTATTTAGAGCAAAGCAGAACGACAGTCAAATTTTTAATTTGTGTTCACAAACTTGCCGAAAATAGTTGATTCAAATCTTTTTCAAAGTTTTGTTAATCCACAACCAAAATATAATTTGTTGTAGTATTTGTAATAGACCAAGACAAAGTAGTATATAATTATAAAGCAGACAGAATGTCTCCAAAAACGAAAAGTGAACGGTGCATTTGTGTTCCGCTCACTGATTTATTAGTTTCTAGAACCACATTTTTGTTTTAAGTTCAGCTGCAAGTTTATTCTCTACATACTGCGAATGTTGAACATTCTTTATTTTAAGAGATATCTCCAAACTCTACCAAAAATAGACTGTTATATTTGAACATAAATTTGCATCATATTTTAGTCTGGGTCATTCTAAAACGTAATATGCTTTTCTCCAAAGCATTCCTTTTAACAAAAGCAATATCGCCCATCAAAGTCCTGCTGATCAATAGGAGGAGAGCATGGGTCATTTATGTCTGTACAAACCTTTGATCATCTTAAAAATTAAAGCAAGTCAAAAAAAAAAAAAGTTTTAAATTTGAACTATTTTAAATAAAAACAATTGAACAGGTTTTTTGTTGTGTTTTTTTTGCCCAGCTATAAAAATGTTTAAATTTTATCTAACATTTAAACGTATAAATTAATATTGTTCAAAAGATTCAGAGGCTGATAGAATCATAATATTTTGTCTGTTGGTGTTCATATGAGAAGTTCAGTGAAAACAACCTAACTAATCAGCATAAAACAATTATTAACTGCTTCCAGTGTTTGAAAAGTACACAGATAGAGAAAATAAACTGTCTTCTGTAGTATTTATTTTGATTTTCTGTCACATTCTCTGCTTTGCACATTTTTCATGGTGAGACCTACCCGACATTTTTCCTGGCCCCGTGCAGTTTATTTATCATGGGTGCTCATTTCCAGGATCCATGTGGATCTTCTTCCAACTGTGGAATGAAGAAGTACAAAATCAGCACCACCCCTAATCCTGGGAAGCAATCATTGATATGCCACATACAATCTCACTTTTTTGGGAGATTGGGGTTCTTGCTGACATAGACAGTTTCCCTCTGCAGCAGGTCTAAGGTTCAAAGGACATTCTGTCTCTCCTTAAACTTAACTTGTTCAGATTAGGCAAGCTTCCTGTCATTCTCTGTACCTTGTTATTCAAAGAAACCGTGGGAGCTCAGTCAGAAGCAGAAAGAAAGAATGACAGTCTTTTCCTAATAATTACAGAATTTGCAGACTAGAGTAGTTTTGAAAAGTACAGTCATACCCCAGGGGACCTTTACCCAAAGAGATGAAAGCTATGGATTCATTGTCATTGTAGCAATGCAACAAAAAGCTACTTTGTTGCTCTTGGAAACTCTAGTGGCAATAATTTAGACACAATAAAATACAGTGAAAATATTAACAAGGCTATAAATGTAATTATTACTTTAAAATCCAGAAGGCATGTTTGTCAGGGCTGAGATACCTTGTTAGCTTTCTTGTGTGACCTGTGTGAACACAGAGGTGATGGAGGGAGCTGAAATCGATCAGCGTTTCTTTTAGTTCTCTAAACTAGAAGGAGTTTAGAGAGTTTTAGAGTCAGTTTTGCAAGTAGATGTGAAGTTTCAGGTGTGGCTAGCTTTGGAGTATAGTTGACTGGTAAGAAAGATGAGGTGTTTTATAGGGTTCTACCACTAAAACACCTCCAGTGATTAACCAAAACCAGAAAGAGACTGCCTTTTTTTGACCACTTCTCTAAAAGCACACAACTTCTTCACTACATCCTGATAGTCATGTGACAAGGTGTGTTGATAGGAAATCTGGAACGCAGGATTCAGAGCAAGATTTTCTAAACACCACTTAATTAAAAGACTAAAAGCAGCCCCCTTGGCATCAATGGATTCCCAATTTCCCTTAGGCAATTTTTATGTGTTGTCATTAATATGTTATCTACATCAAATTCTGTTTCTCAGCGTATTTCTCGTTTTTAATGGCCAGCTCATGCTGTTGTTATGCTTTGTGTCATACCCTTACCACACTATCTGGGAACGTCTGGGAATCTGTGTAGGATTCCCAGACGTTCCCAAGCCAAATGGGATACAAGTCCCTCCAGAAAGTTCTGGGTCTTTCTGAACAGATGCCAAGACCAGCTCAACTGTGTCCATTTATTATGGAGAAGCAGCAGCTCTACTTTGAGCTGTCCCCAGATGATGAAGTTCCCAATCCAATTTATGAGGATAAGTCCAGCCACGGTGTTGAGGAAGCTCATTTCGACCAGATGCAACCAGCTTTTCATTCTTTTAGTCATGATCCATATCTCATGATCATATCTCATGATAGCCAGAACATTGTCCCTTATATTTCACAGGACTTATTTAAACGCCACAAAAGTTGATATCAAATCTAAACAGTGGGAAGATAATAATAGCTCATGTTATTTGTGTCAGAGCTCAGGGGTTTTATTGTTTTTTGTTTTTTTTCTATCTTGAATTAGACCAAAAACATAACTGACCTGGTTATTAGTCTATATGAGCCCTTACCTGTTGTCTTTGTGAAAGCAGTTCTTTCTTCTGGTCAAGTTTAAAGTTGAAAACAAGAGCGCACCAATTTATCAAGCCAGAGCTTAAGCTAGTTGTGGAACAGAATGTACTAGTGCTAAGCAGGCATGAGCAGCTTGGTACAACCCCTTCTTCCCTTCTTCTATGTAAAAGGGCAATATGAGTTAAAGAGTGACTTGTCTTTTTTTTTTTTTTTTTTTTTTTTTTTTTTGGGATTTTTCTTTCCAATTTATGAAAATGTGCAACATCACCTATCTGCCTACCTTAACATATACACCTGGAATTTACTTATTTTTTTATATTTCATACTATACTGTTTCAGTATTTTTATATTCACTTGTATTTTTTGTATATATATATATTTTTATATTGGTTCTGCTCTGTCCTCTGTACTGCTGTAACGATGCAAATTTCCCCACTGCAGGATTAATAAAGAAATATCTTATCTTAAAAAGCCAAAACTACAATATATTGGACCAAGTATATTTCTCTACTAAAGTAATTCACGGTGGTGTAAATTGTGTATTAGCAGCAGCATGGGAGAGAATCGTTTCATCTGTCATCTATCGCTACAAATAAGTGGCACTGTATAAAAAAATCATAAACTTACATTATCTGCAGAAGTCAAATTCTGTTTTTTAAATATATGTTTTAATTCTGTACTATTTTTCATCTTTATGGATTTTCTGTCTTTTGCCTCCTATTTTCTTTACTTATTAGTTTCTACTCATGACATTTATACTTTTTTTAAGGTCAAATGAAACTAAACATTTTGAAGCATTATGTCAAATGTTAACTTGACATAATATAAAAGCCCTATCATACATAAGTGTTTCCTTTCAGGTAGCAGATCTGGTTTTAAGTGGCAGGGTTCTCCCCATCTAATAAAACTGAACAGAACTATTTGAACGTATCTATTCAAAGTTAATATAATGCAAGGTGCTATTACATCTGTTGGCTTACACTAACCAACACAAAGTATCCATAAAAAATGAACGTAATTTGAGTTGACATTTGTCTCTGTGTTCTTCTCTAGAATGCTGTTCATCACAGACTATGGGAATGTGGCCAAGCTTGAGCGGTGCAACATGGATGGCTCAAACCGGACCCGACTAGTGGATTATAAAATTGAGCAGCCCACTGCTGTCGCATTGGATATGATCAAGAAGCTTGTATATTGGGCAGATGCCTACCTGGATTACATTGACGTTGTGGATTACCATGGCAGGAACAGGCACACCATTATCCACGGCATCCAAGTGAGTGTCACATTTTACTGTAAGCACAGCTTTTTTCCTTCTACGTTTAAGGAGCCATTTTAGATAAATGTTTGGGGCTTTTCTTTACAGCAATGCATTTCTCTTCCCTTGAGAAAGTCAAATTATAACATGACATAGCTTTTGGGTATTTTTTTCATTTGGGCACCATGATACGAGGCAGGTGGTACATTCAGTGTCTGGGGTTTTAATTCACTCTTCATTTTCATAGAAAAGGTCTTTTGAAACCTTGATGTTTTATTAAATAGAAAGAACTGAGTCACACGTGGAGCAGTCTTCGAAATGAGCATATCAATAGTCTCTCCCCTGTAGTACACTTTCAAGCCCCTTTCATTGCAAATTATGATTATTCATTAAAAGGCCATTGCCACCAGCGTGGATGAGAAATTCAGCCTTTATGAGGAAAAAAAAAGAACATACATCTTAGCACTTTATTATGTATGCAGGTGTTCTTTGGATGATATTGCCTTGCTTGTGCCCTCATTAGACTGAGGATCTTAATGCCATTGGATCTGCATATCAAATGTCATACAGAGCCTCATTTTTTTTCTCCTAGACTGTGAATTTTGTGTTCGCGTTAACAAGCTGCCTCTTTTTCATTTTTTATTAGAGTTAATTTCACATTAAACTCATTCATAATTTTAATAACGTTACTCAACTTTTCCAATTTTGGACTGAGCTTTTGATAAAGTATTATTGTTTTGTGCAACTTGACAATGCTTAGTTTATGAGTCGGGCTTATTGTGCTAGTGAATACACTCTCACTTGGCATTGCTAGTTTAGGGCCTTTGTCCATTTGGAAGGTTTTATTGTTCGTAGCAGAATGGCTATTGGCAGAATACAACAAAAACTTCAAATAATTTTACACCAAGAACTGGCTGCAGTGTTTGGCTCTATCTAATCACATCCATTACAGAATGACACACAAAGGCTTCAATATAAATATACATCCCCAATAGCTTTTGGGGATGTATATTTGTAGATGTCATTTATACAAATACACCTTAACATAATTCTCAACTTGAGGTGATTATTTTTCCCGTTTTTCATGGCACATCATTGAGATTGGTGGATATCCTGGCAAGATCATTCAACTATTGTCCTCAGCTTTCTAGGGTTTGGAATCATAGACCTGTTTGAGCACCAGAGTGTCAGTAATTTACCTGGAGTTATTCCCTGTCCTTCATCCACCTTTTGCAACACAACAAAACCTCAGGCAGCAAAACACACTCACAACAATGATGGTCTCATCAAAATACTTGACAGCTGGTACAGTGTCAAGAATTGAGGCTTAAAAGCTTCAATTCAATTACTTCAAAAGTACATTGTGTTACTCTTGCCAGATAACTCAGTCTTTGCTTGGTCTGAGAGTAAAACTTCTCTTTAAAAAAGTTTTTTTTTTTTTCTTGGCCAAGTGGGCAGTTGCAGATTTTAGTCCAATATTAAGTATGACCAATTTTTTTTCCTTTATTGGTGCCTGCTTGCAAAATAAATAAATAAATAAAAGTTTTTTTGCAAGCATAGATTTTGGTGACCAATTGTTTTATCCAAATAACCCAAACCCAATCCTCAGCCTTAC